GTGCGTAATGCCTAGTGAACCCTCGAGCTCATGTTTTTGAATTTGGCTTTCAAGATTTCGAGCTTAGAGTCGTGGGCAGAGCTGAGCTCCATTCCTTGAGAAGGGTCGGTCGATCCAATTGCGAGCTGATGGGTGTTCGCATCGGTGTGTTGAGGTTTATTATACGATGTTGTGCCGCTGGTCGCCTGTGTCCATCAGTCGAAAAAGGGGCCGAACTGATTCATGATTACAAAAATTCGTGGATCGGCCTAGCATCACTCATCTGTCCTTGCAGGTCGGTTTGAGCAGATGTCAGCGCGTCGAGTCGAGAATTCACTTGGCGAAAAAACTCGTCGTGCCGATCGAAACGGCTCATCAGAATACCCAACATGGACGAGAAGTCCACCTGCGGGTTGGCGATCAGGGTTATCGGGTGTCCTTGGTCCGGTGTGGATTCCTCGGCAGTCGTGCTTGGAGTAGTAGCGACGTTCTGTTCTGTCGGAGGTGTCTGGGTCGGCTCTGCGACTACCAGTGGGACAACCTCGATTGATTCTTGGTCGGTTGCTTCGTCCGAATTCATGTTTCTTGTGTAAGAAAAATCTTCAAGTCCCCTACCTGGCACGCCAATTGTTCAACCAAGAAGTAGCTCGTCGAAAGAATTTATAGATGAATAATGGTCGGGATTTCTCGTATATTGAAATATGATGTTGGGACAAATGGGTTACAAGTAGAACATGAGAATAACAGCAGGTCGGACAGATCCCGACGTGCTATATAGAAAAAGAGGTCATGAAACGGTTTGTACTTTCCAGTAACGGTAATTGACTAGAAGTCCCTTTCTGATCCGGAGAATAAAGTATACGTTTTGCTCTTTATCCTCTGGTCCAAAGAATGTTCAGATATCCTTCAAAAGTGATGTGAGGACTTCTATTTATAGCAAAATCTTAGGGAGTAACCTTAGTTTAAATCTAACCATGGTTAGATTTAATCATATCCTAAGTTGGGCTCCCTCAATGCCGATGGGCCGAGTTGATCGTCAGTGGGCCTTGGGCCCATGCCCAAAAGAATATGATTCAGATTATTTCAACAAGTTACAGATATCTTGACAAGAATTGGGATTAAGATGTTTTTGGATTACTCTTGTCGGCCAATATAATGAAGTTCTTTGTCTAGGCCTTGTGTGTTGCTTGTCATCTTCATCCATGAGTATCCTAATCCTATCTCATACTCAACATTTGTTAATGCTCTCTGTCATTCTGCAAATATACATCTCTTTTCTTGCTTCTCGTGTCTTTTATATATCCCATACATTGTGTGAAGGCTTTGTTTTTAAGTGCTATAACTGTTGAAAAGGAGCTGACATGTCTACGTTTTTTGCACTAACATGATTCAACTACAAATTACTCTTTACTTTTAACTTGTGAGCAAAAGCCATCTTTTGTTTTCATATATCAAGAAAGAACCGATTTTAAAGTGTACTCCAAGACAACTCAATTAACAACCAAGTATCACATGGATTGTCAAGTATGTACCTGTCAGTTGTTTCCACATTTCCCCCATAAAACATTGGATTAGTACATAGCCTGCATTGGACATAGCTACATTTGCATTCCAGACGGTTAACTCAGACTTTATCATTATCTCTGTGATTTGGTTGCAGTTCTAGGATCAGTGATTGGTGGAGTCCCTTGTGGTATTCTCTCTCGCTACTTTGCTTATGTTCTTCACTAAAAACTCGCCATAAACATAAAAAAGGCAATTATCTCTTCTGGAGCAGGAAAATGCAGAAATGCTGTTAAAGGGCGGTGTTTCAACAAGAACAATAACATTTTGTCTCCCGGAGAGTATCTGGAATCGCCATCTGCACCCAAGGTTTATCTTAGAGTTTGGGGGAAATGGTTTAATTGGATAACTAGATCCCTTGCTATAATTGTATGTGCTTATGTTTATTCGTTTGATTGTATAGACACATGGGTGAAGCATCCGCAGGGCCGGTTCTAACATGGTGCAAGTGGTGCATTTGCACCATGTTCAACTGGTTTTTGTACCATGTTCAACTGATTTTTTCGATTTTTTACATGAGTTTTATTTTAAATTTTTAAAATATAGGGGTTTTAAAAAAAAATTATTAAAGTTTAAGGTGTTTTTTGCAATTTTTGGCAATTTTTGCTCTATGTTTGTTTTGAGATTGGGCTGGGCCTGAACATCTGGCAAGCAGATCGATAAGAAGTCGCAAGAGATTAGCATTGTCCGTTGGAGCTAGAGAAGGCTACAGCTTCATGAATTTGAGCCATGGAAGGGGAGAGAAGAGTTGCATTGGTTGTACTGCTCACTGATTCTATGATTACCTTTTTTTGGTTAGTTACCAAATGTAATACAGATAACAAGAGCTATCAATTGATTAAACAAATTCCCATTCTTTTAATCCCAGTAGCTAGGTTCATAAAAGGATATGATTTTGAAACTAGAAATAAAAAAATCATATTACCAGAAAACTCAAGTTTGGTTTGAGTTCGAAAATTGATCGAGGTCAAACCTCTTTACATCAAATAAGACAGACACACACATATCTGTAACCAAAATTAAGCAAACAGATTAACTACATTGCCGCGGATTACATACATAATCAGAAGAGCTAATAAAGAGTTAAAATTGCCTTGTTATCTTCAAAGTGCATAAGCAATCTCATAATTGACAAATATATCTTTCATCGAAACTTGTGGGAAGCACAAAAGCTCCATCTTCCTGAAGAGTGTACTCGAAAACCCAATCATCCAAGAAGGTTGAATCATAATCTATGAGTTGATCAATATCCACATCTAATTCATTGTCAAGCCCTTCAAAGTTGTCTGCAGGTAATGCGTTATTGTCCGTAACGCAAAAACTTTGATAAACTGCGAGGATCTGATCATGCTCCTCTGTGTTGTCGTTGAAAACTGCAGGTAA